AAACAATCAAAATATCTGTCAGTGAATGGATAAATAATATGTGATTTATCCAGATAATGAGATATTATTCAATAATAAATAAATGCAGGGCTGACCCTTGAAAACATGCTAAATGAAAGAATCCAGTAATAAAAGATGCTTATTTGTGATTCCTTTTATGTTAAACATTCAGAATGTTCTAATCTATGGAGAGTGTAGATTAGTGGTGCTTAGAGTGGAATGGGTGACTGCTGATAGATATGGAATTTCTTTTTGGAGTGATAAAAATGTTCTAATGTTGATTGTGATGATTGCACAACTCTGAATATCCCAAACACCATTGAATTACATAGTTTAAATAGGTTAATTGCATGGCACACTAATTGTATCTAAAAAAGAGGGTTATATGTATCATTTTCTGTTGTTAATAGTATAATACCACAGAATGGGTAAGTTATAAAGAAAAAAAGGTTTATTTTGGCTCATAGTTCAGGAAGTGCAACGTCAAGGGGCAGCACTTGGTGATGACCTTCTTGCTGGGAGAGTCCCAAGATGGTGCAGGGCATCATGTGGCAAGAGACCGTGTATGATTGTGTTTCTTCTTGCCTCTCTCCCTCTTTTTATAAAGCCAGCGGGATTCAATCTGAGCCTCCACTGTAATGACCTTGTCACTTCTCAGAGGTTCCACCTGTAAACACCAGTCAGATTTAGTTTCCTTCAATGAGGCACACTTGAGGATTAAATTTGAGCTTGAGTTTGAAGGAACAAACTATATTCAAATCATAGCAAAGTGCTTTACAAAAGCAGATATGTCAGATGAAGTCACTCCTTTCACTTAGAACTCTCCAGTGCTTTCCCTGCTCACTGAGAGTAAAAGCAAAATTTTGTATAATGGTTGCTGAGGTCTCCTTAGTTGAACACCCACCACATTTAGTCTCTTTTACCCCACTGTAGACCCTGCCCTAAAGTTCTGTTCCTCAGAAACGTTCGTCTTCTAACTTAAGACTTTTGAATCTCCTTTTCCCTCTGATGGGAACACTTTCCCCATAAAAGTATAAGCTTCTCCCTCACTTTCTTCACATCTTTATTCCAAGTATCATCTTGTCTTAAGAACTTATTTTAAATGCAGCCCCATACAAAACCTCTTATGTTGTTGTTCTCTACCAGTCTTAGAACCAACTAACAGTACATACTCATGTATACACATGTATATAAATTTATTATTAATAGATTGACTATATAACATGTTACTCTCCAATGAAGGCAAAACTTTTGGTCTGGTATTGTTCATGATATATCCCCAGTACCTAGAAGAATGTTGTAATGAAGTAGTATGTGGTGGATATTTGTTAAATCAATGAATCTTGGAAGATGGCTAGTGAACGATTGGTATCAATTAATCTGATTTATCTAGTTGCACCCTATGTACAGTGGGTAATAGAAGGGATGGGAATAGGACAGTTTTATTTTTTAACATATGACTTTGCAGATTGGTAAGCACTCTCCATAAAGCTACAGTACCTCTAAGCCATGAATACAGAGGATGGGAGTCCTAGGTGCTAGTAGAGAAAAAGATTTCAGAGAAGATGTGTTATGGAAAAACCTTCAAAACAAATGGGTATGGTTAAAGGCAATATCTCTCTTCTTGAAGTTTTAGTTGTGGTGAGTACTGACCTTTCTTAAGCATTGAGTTACTGTTAAACCAAACTAGTATGAGTAAGTGAGATGGCTTCAGAGTTCTTGAGACAAGAAAATTGTCTATATATGCTTGACATGGTCAGGATCATGAAAAAGAACTGAGCAAACATAACCCAAGAAGAATCAGTTGCCATCTTGGTATGCCTTTTGGGCATTAACTTGCCTGTTCCCCCCCTCCCCAGAACATCTCTAAGTAATATATAATTAAAGATTTATTATTTAGAAGGCAATTGTCTTTGAAAAGTAGTGAGAATATTGTTTCAATTTAAATTGGATGAGAGATGTTATATGATATAGTTAATATTATCTTTACCAATTAATCTTTTTAATTGATAATTTGAGAAATAGTTCCATTATAACTCTATACATGGTATGAAAGCAAGGCAGTTAATCATAGAATAGATGGTTTCAGTACAAGGTATTTTATATCTGTTCATTTAATGTTAAAGAGCTTTTCTGCAAATTACTGGATTGTTTGACTATAGACTTGACTGCATAACTACATCATTATGTTGGAAAACTGATTAAAGACTCTTACATTTAAAACACTATGGCTTAATTTATAAAATAATTTTCCTCCAGGTGGAATCATACTATGTACTCTTTGAGCTTGGGTAAAAGGGCTTTTGAAGTGATTCATAACCATAAAATAAAGAATGTGACATTTCTAGTGCTTTATGATCATATTTGGAAAATACCACCTTTTAAATAACATTTTGTGCCCATTTCAGCTAAAGTACACAAGCTTTTCAAGAAAACTAATTGTGGTGATGAATTTGGGTCTAAATTAAAATTCTTCAGAAGGGACAGAAAAGTGGGTTAAAATCATAGCCCGGTTTTCTATCTTCTGTGGGGAAGTGAAGCTGAACAGGAATCAGACCCCACATTATCAGATATGTTTGCTGTGTAAGGGCCCCTTGTATGTTCAGGCAAATTAGCTGTGTGAATTTTAAATAAAAAAAGCCAAGATATATGTATGATGTCTGCAAATTATGACTTTTTAAATGAAATTTATTAGTGGATACCAGATCTTTATTTGGGTAGATCCTTTTAAAAGGTCAAGCCCGGGCTCCTTCCTTGTTGAATATGTTGTTATATAAATCATATAAATCATATCATATAAATATATTAAATATGCATTCTAGGTTATGCATGTAACTTGTGCCAGTGGATGGTATCTTTGGCCCAGGAGATAACTTCTGGGGAAGGGTTCCCATCTATTTGGAATAGTTCAGTGAAGGACTGCACCAAATGGAAGGAGTTTTGTGTGGTCTCAGGAACAGTAAACCTTGCAAGAGAGCAGAACTTGGCAGGCTTTTCAAGCATTCATTACCATTGCTGAGCAATGCAGAGATCCAGAGCAACATTGGCTTGGGGAAGTCTATTTCCATCACTAGTCCAGTGCCCAGGCTTTCTAGCATTTACTATCAGTGCTCCAAGATGTGTAGCCCTTCTCTTAATACTCAGGACCATTCAGCCCCAAAATGGCCAATCTTCACATTATTGCCTAGGAATGGGAAATGTAAATCATTTAAATGCAAATTTAAATCATTCCAAATCGGATCCATGATTCTGATCCATGATGTAAATAAAACATACATCATTGCCTTGGTATTGAAAAGTATAAGATGCAGTGGGGAACATATTTGCTGGTACTCATTCAAAAAATACTAAGTGTAAGATTGGCTTCCCCTAGAAATTGTTTGTGGCAGAGTGGAGTTTTGCCTGCATTAGGATTTATCTTTTTACTGGTTCCCTTAATCAGAGTGCAAGCTGACTCTATTTAAGGCTAGCTAAAGTGGTATTTCAGAGAAGAAATTGGGGGGGCAGGAAAGAACAACTAAAGCTTAATCTCTGATATGCCCCTCCCACTTCTACCAGAGGTCCTGCTTTTCATTTGAGCCTGGTGATTGGTTCTGTAGTTTCCCACCTAGTGTGTCCTCTTACTTTTACTGTTAATTTAGTGCAGAGTATCTGGATGAGAATGAGTCCTTCCTTAGGAGTAGAGGGCCATGCTATAGATTAGAGACAGAGTATTAAGAATTAATGTAAGTGGGATAAAGTAGTTCCACAGACAATATGTGACACTTTAATTTGTCCCATAACTATTAGCACAGGTTGTTAGTCTTATGGCAATTTTGTTAGCAAACTTGCTCACCTGATGTGTGTCTGTAAATCTGAATATCACCACACTGAAACTGAACACTTGCTTGTTGTTCCTGGGTCAAATTAGGGCATATAAGTAATAATATTTCTGGAAATTAAAACAGTGTTTTAAAATTTATTGAATTGTTTAGGCTAATATAATTCTGATTTTAGAAAACAATTAACAGCACATATGAAGTATAAGCTGTTGACTAGCCTTTTAAAAGGAACTTTGCTGACAGTTTTTGATAATTTCCTTGCCATAATCTGAAAAAAGAAAAAAGCCAAAGCTCTTCAGGTTTTGTGGCTTACATTAATAATTAAAAGATCAATAAATGCACTGTAGTGAAAGTTTCTACACAAGTATAAATGTGTACAATTGAATCAATAAGGCACATTAAATGATGTTCCCTGCAACCAAGCTGATGGAGGGAGTGCAAAGTGGATAAAAAAAAAATCAATAAAAGGAGGGAAATGGAAGGAGTTCGTCCTGAAAATGGGTTTTGATCATCATTCTTGGTGGCTCACTTTACCTTCTATAATGCTGCTCTTTTACGGGAAGTCTGAGAAAGTGAGGAGGCTTTTCTTCTCCCCATCACGGTATATACTGTGATCAGTATGAAATGGAAGGACCCTTGTTGTTTTAAGCCTTCACCTTGAGTGACCTTCTGGTGTGAGGTGTGTGTGTGTGTGTGTGTGTGTCTTCTGTCCTTCTAATTTGGAGATTTTGAATTATTTTCCTCAATGGCCTCATCTCTCTCTCACATTTCATTTTTGCTCCAAATTTGCCTTTTCCTTTTGTACTTCTTGATTCTACAAGCACTTGTATTGTTTAAAATGAGTGGTAGTAAATTCTGTTATTTGTTTTAGCTTGGTAAATAATGTGTTTTATTGATCATATTCTTGTTTTGTTATATATAGCACAGAAGAATTTTTTATGTCTGTTCAGAAAAACCAACTTGTAATTGTGGTCTTTAAAGGCCCAGTTACTAAATTGTTACCCTTAAATATCATGCTTTCTTATACATTTAAACATTGAATATTTTGATTTACTTTTTATAGTATAGGAATATGTTCCCCATTTTCCACTTTAAAATGGTAGCCAGCCTGCCTGTCTGACTTCTTTCTTCTTTCCTCCCTCCCTTCCTTCCTTCCTTCTCAAATTAAACTGGTTTTAGCTGGGATATCTGAAGCATATTATAAACAAATATCATCATCGTCCTTTGAAGATGGAGAAGCATATGGATTGCAGTCTGGTATAAAGCCTGTCTCGGCCAGGGTTGGCAGTGTGACTCACAGATGTATCTTCAGCATGATTTTTTCTCATCTGTAAAATTATGGTAAGATCTCTAAAAATATAACTAACAACAAGTTCTCAGATGCTGTCTTCCTTAGCATTCCTCTATCTTTGTGAACATATCCCATATATCTTATTCCAAACAGAGAAAACTAGAATCTCCTTTACCTTGCATTTTATTATAGTGTCTCCAACAGGAACACTCAGTTTTACCAGTTGCTAGTGGTGCATGCTGTCATTTCTTTAAATGTCATAGAGCCATCATCTATGTACTCATACCTGCAGATGGCAAAATGTGAAGTTACTAAGGGTGTTCTGAGAAGCAAATGACAAGGATCAGAAGTTGGTTGCTGGTCCTTTGGGATTTGCCTCATTGCCTCCTGCAGGATAATTCCCTCAGGAAAAGAAGGCAGGATGACCTCAGCAGTTTCCAAAGATACCTTCAGGCTTGAAGGTATTGAAATGTATTAACACAAAAGGTTTCTCTTTTGATTGTGGGTAACAATTTCTGATGTAGAAATGCTTATCTTTTGGGATAGACCATCCATCAGGATTTTTATGCAGTCCTACTGGAAGGTAAAAAGATGGAGGAGACAGCCCTTATTTTAATTTCTTAGGGTTACTATTGAAATACTGCAGATGAGGTTGCTTTGTTGAAACAACAACAACAAAAATACTGTTTCATGGTTCTGGGCGATAGAATTCTGAAATCCAGGTGTTGGCTGGGCCATGCCTCTTTTGACACTCTCAGGGGAGAATTCTCCCTTGCTGCTGCTTCCTTTCTGGCAGTTTGCCTAAAGTCCTTGGCCATCCTTGGCTTTTGCTCGGAACTTCAGTCTGTTTTCATCACCACAAGTAGCTTTGTCTGTTCTCCTTCGCATAAGGATTCCAATCATATTGAAATGATCTGATCTTAACTTGAGTCCAGTTTGAATGGCTCCATTTTCAAACAAATCAGATTCACAGGTACTGGATGGGGGAACACAATTCAACCTATAATAACCCTGAAGTGGTTTTGTTTTTCCCATGTCGGAGATGCAGAAAGTCTTTCAGTTAGTGGTTGAACCAGAAGCTCAGCAATCCAAACAGTATGTTTGGAAAACAATTGTCTGTACAAGGAAAGATGAGAAAGCTTGTTTTAAAGGACAGTGCTTTTGGTGTATTGAAAAACTGGGTCTCTGTTTTTCTTTGGAGCATTCAGACAAAGTCAAGGATAAATCACCACATCGGATGTGGCTTACTCTAATGCCTTTTGATGCTTCTGACATGTTTGTAAAGCCCAAGATTCGTTTGTGCATAGAGGTTATTATCTTTCAGTTCTTTGTGTGGAAAATAACTGAGCTGATGGTGTTTTTCAGTAGCAGTTACTGTGCTTTCCATATAGCAATTGCTATTTGCTGTTTGTTCTTCTCTTGCTGTAGAAGGTATTTTACATACCATTTGTTGTATTTTTGTCATTGTCATTATTTCCCTGTGTGGATGGGATAAAATCATCTGGAGTGTATGAAAAAAAATCCTTATATTTTCCCCAATCCCATAATACTCATGTTTTTTATGGAGAATGGGGTCTGGTAATCCAGGTATGAAGGTATATCCTTTAGGCACAGAGGGAGGGTTCCAGGAAGGGATGAGTTAATAGCCAGATCTATTTTGCAACTGGCCCAGCCAATTAGCATGAGCTGTCTTTTACTCTGCATATGTGCCCCTGTGCAATTAGATACAATTTGTGTCAGTGATGCAAGCTGTCACTGTGTGCAGCCTGAGCACTGACTTTTTCACAGAGAAGTCTGATGGGCAGGTGAAGAACTTACTTTGTCTCCTGTTCCTCGGGCAAACCCAAAAGCTAGAGTATTAAGTGATTGCTGAGGGCCAGTAACTGAAAACAGGCAGGCAGCACTGTCTGAACCTGTAGTTCATTCTCTGAACTTTTAAAAAAGTCTATCAAATTAATTTTCAGGATTCTCAATTAAGAAAGTTTTGGAGCAAGATTTAATTTTACTATTCTTTTATGTAATAGTATATTGTTTTTTCCCTTAAGAATATTGTGTTTGGTCTTGTTTCTTCAGTGTTTCAAAGCTAGTTTGCTTTTTAGTTTTTTAAAAAAATAAAGGGCCAATTGGGCACTTTTTACTTGGTACATTATTTTTCAATGAATCCATAGAAAATAAAGCTAATTGTATTGGAATTCAATTCTAGAGACTTAAATTGTTTATCCATCAATTTCAAATGCTAGCCTTTGGTAATAAGGATGTGAGGGTGCATATTTAGGAACAAACACAGTTTGAGATAACTATAAGGTTGTATGTTTTCTTTCATTGCATGCTTAGTCATAAGGGGTGTGGGAAGACAGAAAACTCAAAGAAAACTATTGAGTTATGAAACAGGAGTGGGTCCCTGGAGTTCATCTTGTCCATCCTGTGTCTTCAGGCAGTTCTGTCTATTGACAGTGTGAGGTATAAGAATCAACCCCAAAAATATGCTGTTAAGGAGTTAGCCAAGTAGATGTGGGAGCAAGAGGGTATCAGGTGGACCTGCAATTGTTACAAGCTTCTTAAATTAGATTCACATTACAGATGACTACTGTAAGGTTTGAAGTGAATTCTGATGCTGTTAATATTGATTTTAATTTTCTTTCCCCTTTCCTTCTCTGCTTGGGATAAAATGTTAATTAACTCTCACCTGTGAAACTTGTGTGACTCATATTGCTTGTTTAATTTAGATTACAAACCCATGGGGCAAAACTGCTTTCTTCTTTCCCTCTTCAGTGCTAAGGGCCTAAATGGGAGAAATGTTTATTATTATTGTGTATTATAATAATCGTGATGTTCTGCTGAATATTATGCTGATTACATTTACTCATAAGTGGTATCTTCAGTCTTTTCTTTTTTTACATTGAAAATATCTTATTTAGCTTTAAGCTGGCCAGACCGTGACTTCATATGGAAGAAGAAGCGAGTGATGAAATTGAAATGTATTTTGAATGCATTTTAGAATTATGTTGGCTCTTCTGAGCCAAAAGCAGTTACACCTTCCATGTAAAGTATGTTTTAATCATTTCCAATTTTCTTTCACTCTAGAATGGCTAAGTGGAATTTTTTCCCCTCAAATTATTCCCAAAGAAAGAAAAAAAAAATAGGCCTAGGACCAAGCTTAAAAAGTTTGGCTGAGGAAAGATGCTATGATTGAGTGGAAACAGGTGGCCATAATATTCTCTTCTTAGAAATGTCTTCAACAAGAACTTTTGAAAAATTAAAAACTCTGTCATTTACTGTAGAAGACTCTACCCATGGAAAGTGTCAGAGAACAGAGGCACAAGTAAGAATAATTCCATCCAGAAAACACTCTGTGAAGTATCTCAACAGAGGAAACCTCTTTAATTAAAACTGACTTGGAAAGGCCAGCCAAATTAGTGAAGTTTAAATTAGAGTAATCTCCAGTGTATGGCAAATTGATGTGATTACCCAGCACCATTACCTAGAACTTGGCAGGGGTCCTCAGGAGTGGGGAGGAACTCAGAGAAGGGCCCTGGTGGGCCTGGGCTCCTCATCATTGCATCTTGCTGTATGCATTCAACAGATGTTTGCTGGGCACCTGTTCTGGAATCGGCAATGTGCTAGGAGCTGGGCGTGTGTGGATGAGTAAACATTGTCTTGGTCTTCCAAGGATGAAATACACTGCAAGGAGAGAATTGGGAAGCAATGCTAAAGAGCAATAGATACCACAGGGTATCAGAGGAATACTGAGAATGGATAGACTCCTCCAGGAGACAGGGCAGCTTCTGGAGGAGGTGATGCCTGAGCCAAATCCTGCAGGATGAGGAAAGGATGAAGGAATAGTGGGAGCAAATGCTCATGTTAGAAATAGCATAGACATTGCAGGAAGCTACAGGTGGCCCTAGACCACACAGGGGTGGTAATATGATTGAGCACTCTGAATCCCACTGTTCTTGTTTGACTATCAGAGGAATTTGCTAATGCTAACAGCTGAGACTAAGAACAGAAATGGAGGTATTAGTGAGGGTGTAGATCAAGACAGACTTAGTTTGATATGTATGTGATACCAGTCTGGAGATAACACCTTCCTTCTTTTCTTTTTTTCCCCCTTTGCTCCTTCACTGCAATCTTGATGGATTAGGGATTCATTGACACATTGGTTAGATAAGACTGTGACAATAGGAGAGATCTGCCCTTTCCCCACGGGTAGACAGAATGAAGCTAAGAGTATAGTTAAGACTCCATCCAGAGTTGAGGTATCCCAGAGGATAAAGAGGTGATCCTCTGGAGTAGGACAAAATTTCACCCAAAAGGAGAAGTTCTCCCAGGAGCAGCAGAAGGAATTCCACCCAGAGAGTGGCTTAAGAAGGGATCCAGTGCAGGGGAATAGACCCCTTGCAAAGTTCACTATTGCCTTTCAATAAAGGCAAAACTTTACTCACTCCTTCCATAAGAGAGATGTTAATTATTTTCAGGTTACATTTGCTTTTGTACGCAGTTACCTTAGTAGCTTTAAAACTGTATTCACTCAGAATAAAACATTGACTTTTGGAGGGTGATGGGATGAGATCCAATAGAGAATACACTATGCTAATCTAAGCTACACTTATTTATTGTTTTACTTTTGATGCTAGGGGTTGCACCCCAGGGCCTTTCATAAACTAAGAGGGCTTCCAGGGTAAGTGATACCTGAGCTATACTCCAGCCCAACACTGCTCTTATTAAGAATATTTTTATACTACTATATTTTCAAGATATAAATAACACAACAAAATGTTATACAATGTTTTAGTAAGTCAGTATGATTTTCAAGATGTAAAAATCAAAACATCACAAAAATGTTTTGATAAATGAAAAGTAGATGAAAAATGAGTTATTGGTGTGCTACTGTTAGATGCTTGAAAATTATTTTTTTGGTCTGTTGTGTATGAATTCAGTAGATCTTATGATAATTATGTTTACATTATACATGTTCCTTCTTCATAAATAATGCAAAGGAAATGCTAACCTCTACCTAGCCTGAATTATACTAAATGCCACATTTGCAGAA